ATTTATGAGAGAAATACTCATATCATTGGAAAGTTTGAAGTATTGCTATCAAGGCTATTTTTATATAGAAATTATATTTTTTAGACCCAAATGCAATTTAGTTAAGAAGCCTGATACATTACAGTGGATTTTTGGGGTATTGGTATAGTAATTTATAAATTTTCTTTTGTATTCCAAAATGCTTATATAAAGTCTACAAAAATTATTGTTCTTGCATCTCCACATGTGAATTTGGATGAGGCTTAGCAAGTATGTCTTACAAGTGCAAACAAGGACTTCGTAGCATCGTAAATAGTAGAGATCATTGTTTTCCGAATATTTTTTATTTACTGTTTTATGTTTGAAGAACAATAACTGACATTTAAGTATTAATTTGAAAACATTAGTCATATGTAATGTATGGTAGCCAATATGTTACTGTATTTTTACAAAGTAAGAACTTGTGTTATTTTTCTACTCATTAACATTGAGGTAGAATAAAAACAAATTATACAAAACTAAAGACTAAAGGAAAGTTTATTTATATTATTTGTGAAAGTCTAAGAAATAAATTTATCACTGATCAACTGATCTTAACAAATGAAAAGGAACAGCTTTACATAAACATCCGGTTGAACTTGTAGTTTGCTGGCAAATAATTTATTTCTCAAGTTAGAATCAAGAAGGCTAAGCCAAGAATACTAGCCCAACCAAAACAAGCCATATTTATATTACTGGAAACTACACATTTATTGATTACTGTGTAAGCATGGTAATATATGTAATAGGATGTCCGTAAGAATTAACACACATTTACACCTATACCAATGCCAAATCCCAACCACAAAGTAAGATAACTAGCAAGTTTATTGGATAAGATACAACTTTATGCTTTGTACAGAGCCACATCATAAATATTTTCTCTCACTTTTATAAAGCACTTTAAACAATTCTTGTTGTAAAGAAGTCAGCAAATTCTATCCAACTGTGTTCTCAGAGCAGCGATCCGAATAGCTTCTGTAGGATACTTCCGCTTTTTGACTTATTGGATCGGTCCAGACTTTCTACAAAGTCATAAACATTTTATAATACTTTAGACAATTGTCATTATAACCATTATACTGTCAACAAATTGATATATCCTGTCTCACTGTGGTTTCAAAGCAGGGAAAATTCTGGGAATTGTGCTGCACGAACTTATTTGATCTTAATGGTGTCAAAGTGCGGTGACACCTAAACAGGAATGGTGATTCATTGCTTTATATTCGGCAGGTTTCTACTTCAGTCTCTAAAAGTAGAATAACAAAAGGAAATAGGTGTACAAAGATTAGAAGAAACTCTCAGGAGATTTACTTGGAACTTAACTGTCCATACTGAAAAGAACAGAGTACTATTCATTTTATTTCTTCTAATTTCTAACTCATTTACTAGCAATAAAATAACTACAGAAAATAAGTGTGAAAAGTTGAGAGCGTAAACTCTGACCATAAGTACTTTAAAATTTTGTAATCACAACTAACAATACATTTTATTTTGCAACCTTTATTTTCGTTGTACTTTGATTACTTACCTACAATCTGGAGAAATAAGTATAATGTTACAATACAAAAAATAAATAAAATATAAAACTTTACTGAAAATAAAAATGTTTGATATTTAATTACGAAGTTTTTTATTTTTCATTTGTTTTAACTGTTTATTATTTTAAAAGTAACTAAAATCATAAAGATAGAAAGTTGTTAGGTAAGATAATGAAAGAAAAAATAATAAAAAAAAACCTTCATGGGGTATATGCGCCAGAAGCTTCTGCATTACGCTGTTCAATAGGGTCATGTTGATGCACGTATGCCTTGTGATTTTTAACTTCTGTCGGAATATTTTTAGTCAGACAGGGTTCAAAGGTCAATAAAACAAATATTAGTAAATATGAATAGATCTATATTGTTAAGAGATTTAAGGTATTTAGAATGAACATTTGTGGTTTTCTATTACAGTTTGCAGTTATTCTAGAACAAAAAAGTAATTTAAATTTATTTCCTAATTTTTTATAATGGTTACGAGGTCGGTCAAATCGATCAACGCCACATAGAGTTGATATTGATCAAATAACAGATTATTTAAAAAACATTTGATGATTATCTAGAAGGATATAGAGATTAGGGAAATGAAACTTGATAAATTTCAAATAAAGAAAAGTATTTTTAATCTCAAAATCAAAATTACTTTGTTCGTTGGATAGTCAACATGTCGAAAGAAAAAATTCACAAGCAAATCTTAAAACATAATTCAGAAACCAGATATTTTGTGTATGAAATCCTTGTAATGTTTACTAATAACCAGCAAAATTTTGTAAAGGCTTGTATACATTGTCAAAAATTATAGTAACATTTCTCTCATAGATACTTTCCTGGTTACAAA